CAGGGGGGGGGGGAGGAGGTGGGTGGATAAGGGGGAAAACGACTATGACATTTCTATATAGAATCATAGCTCCCATAAAAATGGATATACAGTCACCTCAGGGGTGAGGGGGGGAAGATTGATATCGGTCATGGAAATCGTTCACTCGTGCCAATTCTGCCATCGTCCTTTCGATATACAACGTGTGGTTTGCCAATTGGCAAGATTGAGTGCCCGAAGCCGCGCGCATTCGTTAAAAAAAAAAAAAGAGCACGATTCCAATAGATAATTCCAATTTGTAAATTACGCCAGACACTCGCAAGAACTCGTCTTTTTTATTTTTGGCTTCTTTTGTAATTGAGCATCAGTGACCTTTCATCTGAGATACCACGACGTTAATTCTTCATTCTATGTGTACGCGTATATTTCAAGAAAGGACGATCGAATTGCGAATTCGGCAAGATTAAGGTTTGCGCAATGGTTTCGCCTTTTTTAAAATAACTATATATATATATAGACAGACATTTGCACGTAGAAAAATCGTATATCAGGCGCGCTTTTGTAAAATATAAACCGCGTAATAACAGTGACGAAAAATGGAAATAGAGGAAGAAGGAAAAGTGTCTTGCATAGAAAGCCTCAATGCAAAACTAAAGATATATAAGATAAATAAAAGGATGGGGAGGATTAGCACCGAGGGGTGATCCTTATAAATACTTATTAATAATTAATCACACATCACTGAGAGCGAATGGTATATATATATAGATAAAATAGAATTGCAAGGTATTTATTGCCGAGCGAAAAAAATAAGAATCTTGTAACACAGTTTTAAGTTTGTTCGTTACATGGCGCGCTTCGTGTGAACGCCAGCCGTGATTTCCGTATGTTATTTAATTATTTATCGATTACTATCGACTATTGGTTACTATTACATTATCAAGCAATTATGTACATTACACACAATATATATGGGATGAACGAATGACAAGTTCGATTTTCTGCTGCTCCATCCGGTTCCTCGTCCTCTGGATGCCTGTTCGATTATCAAAGCGCAACAAGCAAGGCTATCTGTATCCTGGGACCCTGTGTCTTTGTTAGATATTTTGAAGGCGGCTGTGCAGGTGGTGCGAGCGAGCGGTGGGGACTCCGCGTCGGCGCCGGGACGCTCGGCCGCCGGGCCGCTGCTTTGCCGTTTGATTTTCTTATCAGTAGTGGTGCGAACCAGTGCGGACCTTCACGTAGGAGGAGGCCAGGCTCTGTCGTCCTTGCTGAAACATCCCGGTGAGTTGTTTTCATTTTTCATCCTTTACTCCGCCTAATTTATTATACGTTATTTCAAATTGTCTATTCGATAAGTTATTTTCTTTTTAATTTATCTGTAACACGAGTTCACTCCTTCGTACGCATAGATATAATCCAACAATTTCCTATTTATGTAATATTGTTGGATTTTAACGTTTGAAGGTGGCAAATTTCGTCTCTCACTGATAATTATAGATACAGTGAAAGTCGATTTTATTTTTAATAATTTTTTAAACGTTATTCGACTCGCTACTAAAAATAGGTTTGGAGCAGTGACTGGGGGAAAAGACGGGGGGGGGAGAGAGAGAGAGAGAGAGAGAGAGAGAGAGAGAGAGAGAGAGAGGAGTACAGAATAGCGTGCGTGTCGCGTTACTTTATTCATTAACGCACTTATGCCGGCAACGGCCTTCGGGCTTCCGCAGTCAAAGTATATTCGATCCTTTTTCGTGAAAGACATTAAACGGCGCTGCCGTCTTTTTGCTCTCTCGAGAGTTTTCCTCTAGCGGAGGAAGCATTTTGCATAAAGGACGAAAGGGTCAGTTATCACGTAAAGCCAGTTATTCCCCATCGATTCCTCAAGAAGGCCCCCATCAGCCTAATCTCAGTTTCTAACATTTTTGCAACCCTTAATCTCTATAATCCCTTCATAAACTCAGGAAATCCATCGGGCGCGCAGAAATATAAAATCTAGTCTGAAAACAGTCTTTTTTTGTATGAAATTTACCAATTTAGAACGTAACACGTTTAATCCCGCCTGCCGTTTCGTTAGTCCCGAATTTTTTCATTCTGCATTCATGCACCGTACGTCCTACAATATTCTGCTAGAAAAATTCGATGATAAAAGTGCTAACTCCGATATTCATACCGTTATACCGTTGTTCCTTTCTTTGAACACGAAAGGTTTACGCAAATGACACTTCATATAGAAAAGACGGATAATAGAGAGTACGAATGGACACGGCACGTGAGGCACGTGTTTGCATCACGTTTCTTTCTCTTCTGCAAAACACTGAGGATATTGTTATCGATCGGGTAACAAGCGTGAAATTTATGACGGTCTCTCTCAAAGTCTCTCCCGGTTTCTGTTGGCGGCGTTCGGCACGAAGAGCAGCGAGGTGGCGACAGTAGTGGTAGGGAGGGC